CAAGTGAGTTGCAAATGGAGATTCGTTTAAGAAGAACTGCAGGTTCCAAAATTAACCCCTGCACTGCAAGGGTTAAAAGAAAACTATAGCCAAACTTTTTTTTTGGGTCAAAGGAGCAAATTTACTAGTGTCCTCCTGTAACCCAAACGCAGTATGTAGCAGGCTACTGCCCACTATGTGCTGAAAGCGCAGAGCCGCCCAGCTGCCTGGAGAAACAGAGAGAGGGGAAGGGGGAATCCCTTTGGGGAGCGGTGAGTGACAGTCATTGCTCTCTATAGAGAGAAGCTATGAGCTCAGTGATTTGTGATCGATCAATTCTCTCTATAGAGCCGGCATGTGACAGCTGCTGTGTCACACGCCGGCACCAAGTATTGGAAAGAGGACAATCCCCCAATACTTCTTCTCTTTTAGCTGCTCATTTTGGTCTAGGGAGCAAAAATAAAGAAATGCTCATCCTATCCTTGGTCCTGCCTGGTTGCTTGACTGGTCCAACAGCCTTTTTTCACCAGGCTTTGGCGGCTTAAAGACCCTTGATGTCATCACATCTATTGCAGTCCATTCTCTTGTATTAGACGTTAGGATGCCAAGGGACATACAGTTGAAGAGGAGGGGGAGAGAGGTGAGAGGTCACGGTTGCAGGATCATGGATCTGGTGAGTATTTCTTCTTTATTTTCCCCCCTGGAGAAAAACAAGCAGTTAACCCTTGCAGTGCAACAGTAGCCCCTCTGCAAGGATTCTTTTTTCTTTAACCCAGAGTTCTTCTTTATGTGACCGTCAAATAAACCAGTTCCCAACGGCTTCACACATATATGCGGCATGATGGAAGTGCGCTTTCCTTTGTGGTGCCCCTTGCTCAATTGCTCGACCCCCAGCACCTAGACCGAACTGTCCTTGTCAGCTCCTGACCTCAAACCAGGGATTAGGAGCAGAGAGGACCACGTCCCAATCTTGTGATCGCCAGTCACAGAGATCACTGTGCAGAGAAGCCGCCCCTGTACTGCTTTTCCTCTGTGAGGAGAAAAGGTTACAATGGGGGAATTCAACAAAAGTGGAGCAGAAACTGGAGCAATTGCCCATAGCAACCAATCAGCCTCTCTCTTTAGTTTGTTCAGTTAAGCTTTGAAAATCAAATGTTATTTGCTGCTTGGTTGCCACGGGCAGCTGCCCCAGATTCTGTCTGCTCCAGTTATGTTTAATTGCCCCCCATAGAGTGGAATTAATCAAAAGTGGAGCAGTCGCCCATGGCAACCAATCAGCTTCTCTCTTCAGTTTGCTTTGAAAATAAAAGATAAATCTGATTGGTTGCCATGCAAAGCTGCCCTAGATGTTCTCTGCTCCAGTTCAATCCCCCTCTTTGTATCTTTTTCTCCACCAAGGAAGAAATCTGTTCGTAAATAAATTAAGTTAGATATAATAAAGATAAAATAGCTCGCTCAGTAGTTGATGTAGTTGTATTGATTCAGCGTAGCTGTGCACATGAAATACGTCTTTGTTGTCATGATTACAATAAATGATTGGTGTTGTTATGTAAACATTCCTTTATTTTATTTAATGCATTTTGGATGAAACACATGTGTAGTAGCTGAGCACACCCTGCCCTATAGGGATGCATGTCTGTAGTTTATGTCAGGAGTAGATGAATGTGGTTATGTACAAATTGGAGATGACGGATGCTCTGATCTTATCTCAATCATCTAGTATTACCTCCAGCATCATGTTTGTACTATTTACTGTGATAACATTTGTCATGAAGTAGCTGCACTGGACTATAGAGGATGTTAAGACGTCTGTGGGTTACTTTAACTGCATTCTAGGGCTGCAACCAACTAATCCATAATGAGAATAGTTGTCAACTATTCTCATTATGGATTAGTTGGTTGGATCCCCTAGCTCTCTCCTCCATGCTAGGAGGAGGGCACAGCAAGCAGTGGACGGGTGCAGTAGCCAGCCTGCTATTGCAATTTGAAATGGCCGATAGCAGGCTGGCTATTGCACCACCCCACTACCTGCTGTATTTACATTCTGCTGTCACTGGCAGCCATCATTCCCTGGCTGAAGCTATTCAAGCACCATGTGCTTACAATGCAATTAGTAAAAAAAAAAAAAAATTATAAGGTGGAAAAAAGTAATTTTCGGTTTCAGCCTGACAAATTCTGCTGCGGGAGGTGCATTGCAATGCCATTCATTTCAACAGTACCCCAAACTCGCCTCCTGCCCATGGTGTGATCACCGGCACTGGAACGCACAGTACTTCAATTCTATGTGTTCCAGTGCAGTGCGTTTGCAAAAAATAGTGCATGCAGTTTTATTCTGAAGTAAACTTTATGTTTGTAACATTCCATTTGTGTATTTTATTTTAAATTAAGGATGGTATTTATTTAATTTTTTTCTATTCCGATTAATCAAAAAAAATAATCGGTGAACGAATCAATTATGAAAATAATCATTAGTTGCAGCCCTAGTGCATTCTTTACTTTATGTTATCATACTTTTCCCCATGAAATGGACATTTAATTATTAAAAGCTTTTGTTTCTCATGAAGTGGTATTTTATCTCAGGAATCCTTATTTTATCTCCACCTTGTTTTGGCTCCTTCACACCACTTGGCAGTTAGGGTTACAGTAACGACAGGTACACTGTGAGTTCCACCAAAGCTGAATAGTAGGGATTGTTGTTCTTGCCTTTTGGCTTTGCTGACATGAGATCAGAGTACTTTGAAAGTCTGCAGGATTTCAGTCACATTTGGTACACTTCATGGTATCAGATTGAACTACTATAATAAGTGTATGCTGTGTGTCTTGGAGCCGGAGGCAAGGTGTCAGGATCTTGTCCGAGCTAGAATATGCATGGCTTTTATACCAAAATTAGTATGTTTCAGCACAAGGCCGAGTTTTCCAAAGAATGTCATCAGTGTTTTTTTGTGGACTTGCTTTTAAACTGGTACAAGAGGTGTCCGTATTAAACACAGTCCATAATTATGTTTTAAAATGTAACTAAAAGTCAAAGACACCTCTTAGCTAAATTGTGTCATTTTGTTTCTGATGTTTTTCTCAAAATAAAAGTCTCCTGGTCCTAGGATTTGGCCGTGAAATAAACAATTTTTAGTTCAGTCTTTCTCAGCCTTCTTAGCCCAGAGGAACCCTTAACATAATTTTCAGGTCTCAGGGAACCCCTACTAAGATTAGTCCATTGTGGGTCATTGGGAAAATTACATTGGTGGTCAGTTGGAAGAATGCTCTACATACAGTGGTGGTCAGAATTACAGACATGCTGGTGGCTCTACCAAGTGTCATTGGATTTGAAACTATGCAGATGCCATCAGATAGGAGGTCAATTAGCCACAGCTCAAGAAACCCCTAGCAACCTCTGGAGCAACCCTAAGGTTCCACGGAACACTGGCTGAGAATGGCTGCTTTAGATGTTGACGTAGTAATGCAGCCAGACAAGTCTATGGTCTGTGCCCTGTAGAGTAGGTGTGTCTGGTCCCCATATGTGGCAGTAATTCTCACTCAAACATACCCAAAAGAAAGAGCCCCAAAACACACCTATGTGTGTATACCACCGTCTATCAAATGTATACATAAAATACAATAGTTATGGTGCAAAAAATATATTAAACAATGTGATATAATGTGTGACTCATTAATATTCGAAGATATGCAAATCAATCAGCATAAATCATCAAACAATGTGAATAGTGTGTACATATACAAAGAATGATCAATAATAAAATATAAATATATAAATAACTAAAGTCCATATAAATGACAAAACTTTATCCGATCCTCACAGGACAAAGATGACTCGTGATCAGTTCAAACAGTGATGAAAAAATGTACATGTGTAATCATATAATCCCAATTCGAAGAAAAAACAATGCTCCCCACTCACCAGATTCAAATGGTCAAATCGCATTAATCACAGGACGCTACTTTCCCCAAACAATTGATGGCTCTGAATCAATAAAATGGATCGTAGCCGGGATTTTAGCTCACCGATAAAGAAACAAATATACAGCACATAGCATAAAATCTAAAAAAAATGTATTTTGCGCAAAAAACAAAAACTTACATTAATAAAAAGTGGATCCAGCTTGTAACCCACAAAGGGGTATATCTCACAATATTCAGCAGGCGAATAGTCCTAACGCAGCTCCACAATGGAATGAACAGGATAGCAGCAATGTACACTGTACATTGTACATTTTTTTAGAGATTTTATGCTATGTGCGGTATATTTGTTTCTTTATCGGTGAGCTAAAATCCCGGCTACGATCCATTTGTATGGGAAGTGAGGAGGAGACCGTTTTTTTGATTCATAGCCATCACTTGTTGGAAGCCATCACTTGGTTGGGGAAAGTAGCGTCCTGTGATTAATGCGATTTGATCATTCTTTATATATGTACACACTATTCACATTGTTTGATGATTTATGCTGATTGATTTGCATATCTTTGAATATTAATGAGCCACACATTATTTCACATTGTTTAATATATTTTTTGCACCATAACTATTGTATTTTATGTGTACATTTGATATACGGTGCTATACACACATAGGTGTGTTTTGGGGTTGTTTTATGGTCTACTTGGAGATTAAGGGATCTTATTCAACTGTTTCACAATAAGGGGAGCGCGGCGTATTGTTTTAGCACTCTCGTGGCCATATTGTTTTTTGCTTTGTTGGTCTTTCGCTGCAGCTGTCATTTATTTATAAATACAAAGGGGGGGACATCCACAAGCGCGAATACTAATGATAAAATACCCCAAAAAAAGGTTGGCAGCAAAGAATGGTAAAATGTATTACTCTAGCAAAGCTTGTCAGCATCTTATGAACCACAATTGTTCCACGGATGCTGGAAGGGTAAGATTGTTAAACTATAAGATCACATTAATATAGTCTTGCAAGTTTTATTTCTTATTGCTATACCTAAATAATGTTCAGTCTGCGCTTTTTTTCTAACGCTTTTATGTTGTGTTTTGTTGTAGTTGTTAAGAAGTGGTGTGCGTGGGAGAGGGTATGTTTCTCCACACAGGCCGATGTGGAATGCATAGCTCCTATGTTCCAAACTGTGCCTGAAACTCCCCAGCCGATTCCAGCCAAGGTCAGAGGTACCATCCCAAAGTGGATCCGAGGAAGTCTGCTACGTAATGGACCAGGCAGATTTGAGTTTGGAAATGACAAGTAAGAAAGTAATTTGTTGTTGTTGAATTTTCAATTTCCCCTTGTGTGCTTTTATAAAA